ATTGCAAATTTTTGCAATTATGTCCACACTCAATTCAGCCTTGCCATCAAAGCTGTCCAAACCAACAACAGCACTGAGTTCATAAACCATACCCTCCATACTCTCTTTGCTTCCCATGATATTCATTTACGCCTCTCGTATCCATATACCTCCCCACAAAATGGCAAGGCTGAATGTCTTCTTCGCACATTAAACAACATCAGTCACACGATGCTCCTCCATGCACACATGCCTCCTCAGTACTGGGCTGAGGTGCTCGCCACAGCCACATACCTTCTGAATAGGCGTCCTTGCTCCGCTGTTCGCCACGGCATTCCATATACTCTCCTCCACAACAAACCTCCCGAGTATTCCCACTTACGTGTCTTTGGGTGTCTCTGTTATCCAAACTTGTCCGCCATGGCTCGCCACAAACTCTCTCCTCGCTCCATGGCATGTGTCTTTCTCGGCTATCCATCTTCCCACAAGGGGTACCGCTGCCTCGACATGGCCACTAAGTGCGTCATCATCTCTCGCCATGTGGTATTTGATGAGACTTGTTTTCCCTTTGGGCTTTACCCCTCTAGGTCCTCGCCAAGCAACCTAGATTTTTTGCTTGCAGAACTACGATGCTTGGTCGTCCCCGCACCTTTGCCCTTTCTTCTTGGGTCGCCACATCCTAGTTTCATTAAGGAGCCGACCGACGACCCCGCGATCTTGTTCCATGGCCTGTGCTTCCTCTTTGCTCCACCACCAGTAGCTCTCCACCACTGCTACTCTCCTCCAAAGAATGCACCTCCAGTGGCCCCGCCCTCGATGGCTAGCCCTCCAATGGGTGTCCCATGGGACATCCGGCTCGTCTCTGACCGATGTCCCCGGGCCATGATGGATCCTCTAGCACCAGGATCGGCTCCGGCACCGAGATCGGCTCTCGCATCTACTCACCGCCTCCTCGCCTTTATCCAGCGAAGCTCTCGCTCCTCAGACAATTGCTCTCGCTCTGTCTGACAAAGCAGCCAACAGCGCCCGTGGCTCTTTCGGCACCTCCCGTCCAGTAGGAACGACGCATTACGTGAACCCAGTCCAGGGCCATACCGGTTATGCGGTATGTGGGTCTCTCTGCGACGACCACTCCGTCTCCACTTCCCTCCAACTACCATAGCGGTTTGGCTGATCCAAAGTAGCATGCGGCCATGGCTGAGGAGTACCAGTGCTCATCGACAATGGAACATGGTGCCTCGTACCCCGGCCACCCGGTGCCAACGTGGTCACCGGCAAGTGGATCTTCAAGCACAAGTACCACTCCGATGGTACCCTCGCCCACCACAAGGCTCGTTGGGTGGTTCGTGGGTTCTCTCAGCACCACGGCATCGACTACGACGAAACATTCAGCCCGGTGGTCAAACCAGCAACCATCCGGGCTGTCCTCAGCATTGCTGCCTCACGCGCCTGGCCTATTCATCAGCTAGACGTCAAGAACACTTTCCTCCATGGACATCTGGAGGAGACCGTCTACTGCCAGCAGCTCCCAGGCTTCGTCGATCCTGTTTTTCCTGATCATGTGTGTCTGTTGCAGCGCTCCCTCTATGGCATGAAGCAGGCTCCCGAGCTTGGTACCAGCGATTTGCGACATATATTCGCCAGCTTGGCTTCGTCGCCTCGGCTTCCGACACCTCCCTCTTTGTCTACAAAGATGGGACCAGTATCACCTACCTGCTTCTGTACGTCGACGACATCATCCTCACTGCGTCCTCGATGGCATTGCTACAACAGATCATTGGGCGCCTCCACTCTGAGTTTGGCATGACTGACCTAGGCGCACTCCATCACTTTCTCGGCATCTCCGTCACTCGCTCCGCCGACGGGTTGTTCTTATCACAGCGATAGTACGCCGTTGAGCTCCTTCAACGCACCGGCATGGCTAAGTGTCACTCTACGACGACACCTGTTGACACTCATTCCAAGCTTTCTGCCACCGCCGGTGCCCCTGTTGCTGATCCATCTACGTACCGGAGCCTTGCTGGTGCACTCCAGTACCTCACGCTGACCCGTCCTGACTTGGCATACGTCGTCCAACAGGTGTGCCTCTTCATGCATGATCCCCGAGAGCCGCATCTCTCGATGATCAAGCGGATTCTACGCTACCTGAAGAGCACTCTCTCCTCCGGCCTCCACATTGGTGTTGGCCCTGTTCAGTCACTGGTCGCTTACTCCGATGCCGACTGGGCTGGCTACCTAGACTCTCGGCGCTCCACCTCCGGCTATTGTGTCTACCTCGGCGACAATCTGATTTCTTGGTCCTCCAAGCGTTAGACCACGGTCTCCCGCTCCAGTGCCAAAGCAGAGTACCGTGCTATTGCTCATGTGGTGGCCGAGTGTTGCTGGCTACGCCAGCTCCTGCAGGAGCTCCATGTTCCCATTGCTTCGGCGATGGTTGTCTACTGTGACAATGTCAGTGTTGTCTACATGACAACCAATCCCGTTCATCATCATCGCACAAAGCACATTGAGATTGATATTCACTTCGTCCATGAGAAGGTCGCCTTGTGCCAAGTTTGGGTCCTTCATGTGCCGTCCTCTCACCAGTTCGCAAACATCATGACCAAGGGCCTTCCTGTACAGCTATTTACTGAGTTTAGGTCCAGTCTATGCGTCCGGGATCCTCCCGCTTAGACTGCGGGCGGGTATTAGGCAAGTCTATGTGTGATTAGCCATGATTAGCACCTGCTATGTATACTTGATTGTATTCCTTGTATACCCAGCCATATTGGCTATATATATGAAGGTCAACCCCCCCCATATTTGGTGTGAGGTGTGTCTCTACATGGAGTCCACTTGAAAAGAAATATATCTCTATCCTACTGATTGTCTGATTCCTCTAATATAAATCCTTCGGACAGCCAAATAAAAACTCCATCTTGTCAATCACACACCTTGTTCAAAACTTCAAACCAACCTAAGCAATACTCCATTCTCTGCACTCCAACATATGCTTCTGAACTCTTGTATTGTAGTAAGGGTTAGTGAATCCTCTATGGCAATTTTGCACAAGCTCCACAAGTTTGGAGGCATTTAAATCTGGTTAGGTAACATCTTTTTCTCATGGGAGACCGAAGAACTTTAAGTCCAAAAATTCTGGTTAAATACCATACAAAAATCTTGATATAGTTGTCGCACACCTTTTAGAGCAAGTGCCACATTCTTCATAGCAGAAGTATGATACGATGGCCAAGACCATCGTGTTTGGGACAGGCATTGGCTCATCATTACTACCATGGTCCATGTAGACATGTAGTGGACCTCTACTTGTGCTTGACCTCCAAATCTCTTTCGCTCAAATCTTGTGTAGACATGTAGCTGTTACATGTTTTGTTAGTACACATACAATTCCACCAATTTCCCTTAATTTTAGGGTACTTACAAGGTACAACTCCAGACAGCCAATTTGTTGTTAAATCTTCAATATAACCCTTTCATTGACAATCTGAACAGACAACATGTGAATATTTGGCAATAAGCACCTCTTGGTTGGGATCCCATACAGATCTCAACTATTTCTAATGCAAATTGGAAGACAACAGTAAATATTGAAACGTCCTCAACAAAATAGACTCTTCTCAGCCGGCTAACAAGCCATGTGCATGGACTGGTGACATAGACAAACTGTCGGGGACCGAATACTAGGGTACCCAAAGAGGAGGAGCTAATAACCATCAAACGTTGATGCTTCCGAACAGACAAGGACGCGACTACACCTCTCGCCCAACGACCGAGGGTTAACTCCGTCTCGTCCGACCCCTGAGGGCTGGCTCGCCTCGCCCGACCCCCGAGGTCGCCCGACGTCTGAGGGCAGATTCCGCCTCGCCCGACGTCCGGGGGCTAGCTCCGCCTCACCCGATGTCCGGGGGCAGGGTCCGCCTCGCCCGACGTCTGAGGCTAGCTCCGCCTCGCCCGACGTCTGGGAGCAGACTCTGCCTCGCCCGACCCCCGGGGGCTGGCTCCGCCTCGCCCGACGTCTGGGGGCAGACTCCGCCTCGCCCGACGTCTGCGCGCTGCTCCTTCATAACTACGCGTGCAGGTAAGGCAGGACACTCAAATCAACCGCAATATCGAGAAGCATACCTTGCACGCTTGCAGAAAAGTACCGTCAGGATATAACAAGACGGGCACTTTAAGGCCCTTCCGGGCATGTTAGAGCCCGAACAGTGTTGTGGGCGCCGACATTTGTTTTACAGTGTTGTGGGCGCCACCATTGGCCCTCGGGCGTGGATCCTGACGGAACCATACAACAACCACTACGGTCCAGGCGGAGACTCGCGTAATCTACAGCGACGGACGTGCAGTCACTGCGCCGTCCGCTCCCCGTAGGGTTGCGGATCAACACCCCGGTCCATCGTGCCGCCCGCCGAGGCGGGATGGGACGTGACCACTTGCTGATCAAGCCAGAACGTGGCATCATCAACAGACAGACGCCCAACATGAAGCTATCCCTGGCACCGTCTGCCATGTCAGCAGGGTTGGCTCAGAGGAAAAGAAAGACCCGGCACCTTCGAAGGACCTTCTTTGCCTCTGATTTTTCTTCTTTCTACCATCTGTAATCCCTGCTTCCCTTTGATCTATAAAAGAAAAGACAGGGCACCCCACTAAGGGGACCGATCAATAGAACACACCACGCATCACATAACACACAGCTGAGCAGCAACCAAGCTCTTAGCGTCCTTTCAATCTTTCCATCAGAGACTTGGGACATGTCCCTCTCTCGCCTGTTTGTAACCCCTACTACGAACCTTTCAGTGCTAATAACACGAGCAGTTGCCGCAAACTGGACGTATGAACATTCTGCCCGAACCAGTATAAACTTTGTGTCTTTTAGCACACCATCCGGGTCCAACGCGCAATAATACAAATTTACCCGTTGGTGTTTACTCGAAACACCGACACAAACTAACAACAATACTGGGACAACATATGGACATATATGATACAGAACACACTGAAGAGCTACATAGTCAAAGATGTCATCACAATTTGCTGGATGGCACCCCAACACCAGAGGCCCTAACCTTCTTCTCGACAACCTTAGAGAGCGCCTTCACCTCCTCCTTGGGAATATGGCGAGGACGACTCAACCAAAGGCCGCCGTCGACAATAATTATAGCCCCATTTACATATTTTCCTGAAAATCAGATTGTACCACACATCAAATGTATGGTTTTAATCATCAACAAAAGAAAAATGGCTAGGTTTTCAGGTGAGGCTATTTTCTTTTTCTTCATCGACATGAGGCTAAAACTTATTACAGATCAACCACGGGGTTACATTGACTACTTAAAAGGCATGCATGAATATAAAACAGAATGATTGTTTGTTTAATAAGTATGGGCACAAAGTCTTCTGGCTAACTTTCAGATAAGCGGATGCTCAGTACCAACTGAAATTCTGTGTATAATGCCTTCTGATAATCTGGATAGAAAACAGGGAAGGACACAGCCAAGTGGCTAACCTGCATCAGAAGCTAGATAGAGTGCGGCCATTGCAATGTCCCATTTCTCCCCAAGCTTAAATAATGGCATCGTTTCTCGTTTCCCCTTGTTCATTTCTTCAGGCGCAAGTTTCCTCATTCCTGGAGTGTCTTGGATTGGTCCAGGTGCAATTCCATTTACTCTAATGTCGTAGTCTGTTCCCCATTCCAGAGCCAACGATCTTGTGATACTATCAACACCTGCCTATAGAAGCCGATCAATCAGGAGAAATCTACATACTTCATCGATTTTCTCTTGCAGAGCAGTTCAGAGAAGGTCCAAGTACCTTGGCAGCAGAGACATGAATTTGGTACCAAGCTGCAGTGTATTGCAGTGTTGCGCTTATGTTAATGATGAGGCCACCAGAGGAAGGACCTCTCCCTGGTCCACCCTTTTTGAGATACTTGAGGGCTTCATAACACATTGTGTATGTACCCACAGTGTCGATGTCAAGAACTGCAGAGAGAAAATATTGTCAATGCGAACTTCTCTGAAACATAGTATTAAGGGCCGTAGTACAATAAACAAAAGTTTAACAGCCTAGCACAACTACACAAACTGAGACAGTGTAACAATGACAACAGTACACACAAAATTGGAATGAAGAATACCACTGAATCAAAACAAGGGCACGTCATGATGGAGTACCAGTTCGGAATCCCTTGGGCTTCAAATCCTCTGGGGATGCAAGGAAGTTGCCGGCAGCACCATTGACAAGAATGTCCAGCTTGCCGAAATGCTCAACCGTTGATGCGATCACTCTGGCAGCATCCTCTTGCTTGCGGACATCTCCATCGAAACCAACAGCCTGCAAGTCACAGCAATCTTGGGTTGCTGAATTGTTTACTAACACGAATCATGGTATGGAGCATCGTGAATTTCATTTGATAAGTAGAGGCATTGACAATATTAAATTCCAAAGGCACAAGTATAAAGTGCTTGACTGCCTGCAACCCTGCACAGATGCATTCCTACATTAGAACCACTTCCCAGACTAAAAGCTGATGCATTGGATTCGGTGAGCCAAGACGCATTCGGCGAATGTTTCTTCCTCACAGTATTACCCAGGCAGTAATAAATTCCTTTTTTTTTTTTTGCGCCAATATGAATTTGTATTGATCACCAAAGGAGATCTAAATTAGAGTGACATGAAAATTACTCCAGTCAACCTTCAAATCATTAACAAGTTCGATCACACAGAAAGATGCTAGAATTCTAGAACTAAGACAACAAAGATTGTAAGACTACAGACCCTCCATGATAGACTTCACAGAGTTAAAGATCCTAAATTAAGGTACAATAGTGCAGAATGTTCGCCCTCCAGCTATCTTGGTAGTCTGGTTGCTCCTAGCAAGGTGGTTACATGTACTGCCCCCAATCACTAGATCAAAACCCCCCATCCTCCTAATATACACGTCGATCCTCATGTCGGTATTTGCGTCTCATGAGATCCATTAGCGTGCCTGTCTACGTCTAATCCCATCAACTCTTCAGAATAGTCCTGTTCACTTTAGATTTCTCAATTGAAAACGTCATGTTCATGCACGTCCCAAGCTTGTTTGTAGGGGAGGTGGATCTTCATTATTTGTATTGTAAAGGCCTAAGCAAACGAAGGGCGGGTCTGGTGCAAGCGGTAGAGTCTTACCGCCTAGGACCGGAAGGTCCCGGGTTCGAGTCGCGGTCTCCTCGCATTGCACATGCGAGGGTAAGGCTTGCCACTGACATCCTTCCCCAGACCCCGCACAGAGCGGGATCTTTCTGCACTGGGTACGCCCCTTTAAAGGGCTAAGCGAATCCACTCTAACAATTTCACATTAGCCACACAAGTTTGAAGGCAATTAAACTGTCGCCTTGGGTCCCATTAGGGCTAGTGGGACACCACTTCTTGGTGAAAGGGGGAGGAGAAGTGACCAAATCTCAGGTGGCGTGTTATGTGTGTACTTTTTTTTCTGGCAACTAAATAAAAGTATAATACAGCAACTCAACCAATAATTTACTAGTATAGTTCTTGCACAGGACATTGCACGACTAACCGATTCTCATCTTACTACTGAAACTACTTGGCACTTAGGCAGCAGAAAAGCAAAATAACTCCCATCTCCCACTCCCAACCCCAAACCGACGACGAGAGCCCAGGAACACAAGGACGGCAGTGGTAGGCAGAGCGCCAGAGCGGGAGGGAGTCTACGGGTACGTGGGATACGTGCGCACCTTGAGGCCCTCGGAGCGGAGCGCGACGACGGCCTTGTCCAGGACCTCGCGGCGGCGGCCCATAATTGCGACGTGCGCGCCATGGCGCGCGAGCTGCGCGGCGATCTCGAAGCCGATGCCGGAGCCCCCGCCCGTGACCAGCGCCGCCTTGCCCCTCAGCAGGTCCGCGCGGAACGGCGACTCCATTGCCTGCCCCTTCCGCCCAGTTCGCGCTCCGGAGACCTTGGTCTCTTGGACCTTGGTCCTTGGTGGTGGGGGGACGGGCGCAGGCGGAGCGAAGCTGGGGAAGAAGATGGCAGTTGGCACTGTGGTTGATAGATTGCGTTGCGTGGCCTTGTCTTTGACACGAGAAAAGAAAGCCTACAAGTGGAGCAAATTGTTTTCGAGGAAAACGTGGAGTACATAATTTGTTTTTTTTTTCTGCGGGGAACGTGGAGTATGTGCCTATGCGGTCTCCTGCCAAATTACAGTTCACTTTGACTGTAACTTAAATGAAACTTTTACTGAGATTTTAGGAGAAATGGAAAATGTATTGACCATAATGACATGTATTAGTTTAAATAAAAGCTCCATGGAAACATATTTCATGGAAAATTGTTAGGTTGATCTCCACCAATTGGCTAGGCCCTTATCCGCGCTTTGATTGGGGGCGCTCAGCCTTTTACTAGCTGATGTCCCCCTGTCGCGTAGCGTCATAAAAGGACGGTGGGGGTTGGGGCATAAGGCACGAGGTTCACCGGTAGCCGCCAGTCCCACCCCGAAGTTTCTATCCCTAGTCCGATCTAAAGGGGCATTGTGAGCGACAAGAAGCGCAATAGCCTTCGACCACCGGCCATCAAGACCGCTACCAAGACTCACTATTTACACCGACGGCGACAAGCGCCATGCCATACCCATGGCCACAACTACCCTAGGGCGAGGTACATCACCAAGTCTCCTATTTAAGCTAAGTATTACCCACTGATCTACGCCTAGAAGTTCTTTCAGTTCTATCAATGGTACTGGAGCCATGGTTGCTAGTGTGTAGATCGGGTGTGGGGTAAAAAATTGAAAAGAAACCGAAGAGATAGAGAAGCAGAGGGTTCGATCCGATTCGAATTGAAACCCTAACCCTAATCGGGGGGAGAAATAGAGATGCAAAGGGTTCAACCAACCGAACCCTAACCTGTCGGGGAAGAAGAACAGTGAAGTAACCCGAACCCTAACCTAACCCTAACCCTAGATCAGACTTGCTTCGCGAAGAAGAGAAAAGAAGATCCAAACAGAGAGAATCAAGGAGAAAGGAGAAGGGCTAGGGAGGCGGCTTATCTTGCCAGCCTCCACTCACCGGAGCACTCCGGGAAAGGGCCACCGCGCCGTGAAGAACGGCCGAGCTAGGGCACCGCCGCTAGGCCGCTCGATGGCGGCGCGCTCACCCGTTGGGGAGCGCGCGCGTCGGCGAGGGGGCCGGCGACGGCGCCACCATTCCTCCGCCGCGGGCTTCCTTCGGTCACTGCTGCCGCTCGGCTGCGCTAAGAAGGGGAGAGGAAGAAAGTGAGCTAGGGTTCGGGAGCCGGCCGCCGCGTTGCCATTTTGTTCCTCCGAGAACGCCGCGTGACCGTTGATCTCAGATGAATGGCTCAGAGCGATCGGGCTGGATTGAGCCCAGGCGGGCGCGCGTAGAGGGTCGTTTTGCTGGCCCAGGCCCAGGTTGAGGCCTAGGAAAGCACCGCGGGCGCGCGCGCGTAATTGGGCCAGGCCGTATCTTCGGTCGGGCCAAGGAGTCGCAGTGGCTCGAGTAGGGCAACACGCGAGTTCCATCGTGCCGAGGAGTGGGTGGAGTCCGTCAGTGACGAGACGACGCTCAATCGGTTAGTGGGGCACGGCGTGCTGCCCGATAGGGCGACAACGCGATGGCGCCCGGCATCTGGTCAGAGCTTTCTGACTCCCACCGACGATGAATTAGTCGTGTTTGAGGATTACTTCTTTTCGCGGATTTGGTGTTCCAATCCTTCCATTTCTGAGCGGGCTAATCGACTATTATGCGATTAGTCTGTGCAATCTTGGGCCAAATTCCATCCTTCATGTCTCGATCTTCATCCACTTCTGCGAAGCTTATCTGGGCATTCTTCCCCACTTTGATCTTTTCTGTCATTTCTTCCGTCTAAAAGCCATGGGAGGATCTGGATCTAGGGTCGTGGGCAGCATGTACCTTCAGCTACGAGATGGGATGGCTGGTTAATACATCGCCACCCCATTGAACACGAATGTGAAGTACTGGGCACAGCGGTGGTTCTATATGCCGCAGGTGGAGCCATTCGTGGCATGCAACATTGACCAAATTCCGGTGAGCAACACAAAGTGGACGGAGAGAGATCCTGGCGCTGATAGATCGTAGGAGGCTAGATGGGGTGTTGGTGGTGTCGAGCTTCATCTTTCGGTGTGTCTAGCCTAGCAAGGAGAGGGCACACCCTGGATATGAGTTTCGGGGTGACACTGATGGGACCCGCGAGGTGCCTGAGGAGATCGATCGAGAGGAGGCTAAGCGGTGCCTCGCGATGATGTTCTATCTTACGGGATGCCTTCGGATTGATAACCAGAAGAGGCCCTTCAATGTAGGGAGCCTTCCACCACGGGTGAGAATCATCTTGTCTTGTTTTGTTCCTTGTTCTGTTGCAATGTACTCATTTGCGTTTTTGAAGATTCATGGATAGGACCGGGCAGTGTACTTTTCTTCAGTGCCATCGTCGGACTGACCGAGGGGAGTGGACGCCTGGCCGAGCGGTCCTCAGCAATGAGCCAGTCTGGAGGCCGATGAGGATAGCTCGGATGACCTGGACGATGGAGAAGGAGATGAGCGGATGAGATATGTCTACGAGAAGGTTAAAGGGAAACGGCTTGCTGACGAGGAGCCATCGTCAAAGAGAAGAAAAACAGTGGGGTCGTCCTGTCGAGAAGAGCGGCCGGTGAGCATCGGCGCTCCCACCCAGCACTAGAGGTGGCAGATGGTGGTGTCGAGCTCGTCAGATGATGATGGACCGGCGGCACCACCTTCACCAAGGGTCGTTGTGGGGGTATAACCCCCGATACCAGCAGGGCTGTACATGGGCCGAGCTGCTAGGAGAGGTCTAGCCCACAAGACTGCGCATGGGCCATGCCACTGGTAGAGGCCCAGCCTACAAGAAGACGCTGTGTGAGGCACGACATAGGTCAGCGTGCCTTGCAAGACTGCGTGAAGATCTTCGGTGATCTAGAAAACCTGCTCGGATATGCCAGATCCTGTAATATCTGTAACTTCCTATCTTGTAAAACCGATCAGGATAGAAACAACCATCTATAACCCTACCCCCAAGCTATATAAGGCGGGTAGGGACCCCCTTGTTTTGATCTAATCATACGCAATACAATCCACAAAGACACAGGACGTAGGGTATTACATCAAGCTGACGGCCCGAACCTATCTAATTGCTGTCTCTTACGTTCTATGTCACCATCTAGCTCCCTCATGCCCACCTCCACCGATTCATCTACTACCATGGGCATACCTCTTAGTAGACTACCGGATGTATTTCGTCGACAGTGGCATGCCAGGTAGGGGTGTGCGTGCTGAATTCATGCCGTACTAGATGGTCACCTTCCCAGCTCCATGGCCTTTCCCGAGCCAGGCCAGATCTTCACGGTCGGATCCATGACTTGGGTCATCGGCCCCGACGTCAACGGGGAGATCATGGAGGCGGTGCAGGATCACCCTACGCCAATCACGCCAACACCTGCAACATCTCCGATCTCGCCGCCCCGCCACTGGGTTAGGAGATCCATCAGCAATGATGATCTGATTACATCCATTGATTGGGCCACAGACCACTTAGCGGAATGTCAGCTCCTCATGGATTCGGTCTTAGATCAATCTAGAGTGAGCGATGAATTTCCCATACTCCAAGATCACCAAGCTACTGCAACCGAAGCGACCTGCTCGGCCACATTGTTCAAGGCGGCCAGATTTTGATATGGTAATCATGGATACTCCAGAGGGGCGCACGGCGTGGTGCCGACCACTTCCCGCTACCGACCTATGTTTGGCCGACTATGAGGCCTCGATGGAGGACCCGCCAAAGCCCTATCCCTTTGGGCTGGAGGGTGCGGGATCTGCGTACCAGAATGCCATCCACCACCTCTTTATCGACCACGTCGAGTGCGACCACGTCATCGACCTCTACATCATCGACCCGACTGACTCCGGTCAGCCCGCGCCCGTGGTCAACATGGTGGCTGTTCGCCAGCTTTCGGATGAACCCTCTCTTCCAACCGAATCTCTCCACAACGTTCTGAACGAGAGCGCCGACTATTATTCCGAGGGCTCAACCAAGACCGTATCAAGCTGCTCTGCTTTCCCTCCGGGTTTAGGGGCATGATTTTCCTCGCCAACCACGACAGCGTCACCAAGGATGGCAAAACCGCTGAAGGGTGCGAAGCTCATCTAGCGAAGAACGCCAATCACCAATGTCGTCGAGATGCAGAAGCAGCCCAAGTTGCCGACGAGGATGGTCGTGGCCCGCCCTACCATCAACATAATCTGGAGGAGGCATTTGATATGGTGGGCGACCAGCCAGTCTACCAGACTCCAAGTGCCAATCTAGTCATCGCTTTCAACGAGCTCGACAAACTCCCTCACACTCCAAAGGTCAAGAAAGTCTAAGCACATATAATAGCAACGCAGGTCCAAGTCAACGAATTTCGGAACGACGCCCCATCTTATTCCACCGCATCAGCTCGTAGCCGCCGCTCCTGCCGTGATGGAGGAGGCTAGCATCATGGCGCCGAGGGCCCCTGACCTTAGGCTAGAGGTCCCTACCTCTATAAAGGATCCAGAGGCAACAATGAAGCTCATTCACGCGACGATGGCCGCCCACCGCGCCCTAGGGAGGTCAGGGTGGCAACCGCAACCAGGAGGTCAATCAACCCCTTCCTCGCGACCTTCGTGAACACATCAATGCTGGCATAGATGTCCATAGCCGTATCGAAAACAGTAGGTCCGCACGCTACGCAGCAGAGATGGAGCGTCGCCGGCAATTCGATGCTGAACATGAGGGATTTGCTGCCTGTCAAGCGCCACTTCCCACCGACGCATCAGGACTTTGACCCTTCACGAAAAGGCTCCGAGCAGTCCAGTGGCCTGTGGGTTTCAAGGTTCTTGGTGTTAACACCTA